TTGCGCGGCAAGATTGCAGTTGCAAGCGACGTGGATTATATTAGCATATGCTTGTTTGACTGACTTGGTCAGTTAATATTTTTCCTTTTATAGGTTTTTAGATGTCCAAGTTGGTTCAGATAAGTTTTGGCGCAATTTTATTTCCGCACGTGAAGCTTTCGAATTTCGTGTTGTGGGCCAATGAGAATTACTGATTCGCATAGTAATGTTTCTATTGGTTAAGGTTTATGTACGTAGGCGTATCGAATAGAATGTTCTTGTTGCTAGGGGTGATAAGGTAAATGGAAGAGTCTACACTCTACTCGGAGATAGGGAACGGGTAAGTTTATCACTTGATATAATCTCAAAAATACTTTCTCTGTCCAATAATGGAATGGACATTAGAACCAATAGCTACTTATCTTCTAACAAGGTAGCACAATTTAGTGTATTGTATTTCCATAACTCTTCGGTGGGGTCTACTAGTAACCTCAAATGATAGGGGGTCATTCAATAACAATTCAAATGAGCCAGGGTCACTATGCTTGGGGAGAGATATCGTAATGATAACATATCCAGTTGAGCCTCACAAAATCGTTAGGGACTGACTAGTCTGTCGCATCCAATTATTAATAGTTATTAACTGGAAATACTGTAGTACAAAACACCATTTAATTCTTGTAGTTCAGTTGCCACAGCCTCTGAGTTAATAGCTACGTTCTATCTCAATTCTATCGGGTTAATTATCAGCCAATTGATACTTTCTCTATTGTTCGCTATTTAAAACCGTGTCACATTCAATATCTAGGCACTTTTCTTTAGCACCTGTGCTAGGATTTTCTGACCCCTTTTTACTTATTTCCTTCTTATAACCTTGACCTCGTCCTCAGTTACTGTTCCAAACAGGACACTTGGCATTTTTCCAATAATGGCGACTACTGCTCTCTTTCTTCGCGTTTTCCATAGTTCAAATCCCTTCAGATAATCCTCCAGGTACTTCTACTGAGCCTCCATTATGGTCGTCTCCAATTCCAGGGAATACTGAGGTACCTCTCTGCTCTAGTATATTTCTGTGCTGCCTTTACCCTGGCTGCACCCAGCTTATTTAACTCACCCTCTAGCTTGTTCAGTAGTAACTCATAGGGATCAGATCATACTTAATATAAAACCCAGGTTGTGTGTGTGTGTGTGTGTTCGTTTATATATTGGATCGGATTTCCTACATTTTTCAACCGATTTCAACAAAACTTCACAGGACTACGTAAAATTACCTTGCGGTGGTTCTGACAGCGCCATAAATGGGAAAAACACAATTGTTTTTTTCACGAAATCAATTTCAAAACACGATTAAGAGGCATCGCGAGAATGAAAGGGGGGACAACTCATATCGAGTTATACTTATAAAACCCAGGTTGTTTGTGTGTGTGTGTGTGTGTTCGTTTATATATGGGATCGGATTTCTTACATTTTTCAACCGATTTCAACAAAACTTCACTTTTTTCTTTTTTTTTTTTTTTTTCTTTGGCAGGTAGTGTTTCTTATTTTCTGGCACACTTTTTTCTTTATTTTTACATTCAGAATGCTTTAAAAATTCCATTTACAAGACAATTGTTTATAATAAAATTCTATTCAATCGATAGACTAATAACGATTGAAAACAATGTTTTTGTTTGAGTTTGGGTTTGACCAATACGTAAAAAAAAAATAAAAATAAAAATAAAAACAAAACAAAACAAAAAAATACTAAAATTGCACAAATTCAACTTGAAAACACGATTAAGAGGCATCGCTGACGAGAATGAAAAAACAAAACAAAAACAAAAACAAAAAAACTAATTAAGACAAGCGTGTCCGTCAACCTTAAACAATAATCTTTGTCAATTTTATTTTTCAGTCTTTATGATGGTCGATACTTGATCTATCTCTTACTGTTACATCCCAAGGCAATGCCGGATTGTACTGCTAGTATAGCAATAAATATGTGAACAGTCCGAACAATATAAATAGTGCAAATAGTTACAATTTAAACCAATGCAGTACAATATTTATCATTTACAAAGAAATAAATAACTAGTAACTCAAGTTTTTTGTCCTCTCTGCTGTGGCCAAGGATTGAACTCCTTCGGGACACATTGCCTAGTGGATAAAAGCATTATGAAAAGGGAGTTGACCTAAAGAGCTGTGAGTTCAATCCCTGGCCGCAGCTGAGGGTAACAAAATCACGGAGAGTTGAGTTATCAAGGGAAATAAACTAAAACTGAGATGTCCAATGGATGACACATGAAATTAGAACAATCTATCCCCATGGGTTCGGTTTGAAATTCCACTCATTATCACCTGATGAAGGCCAGAGCGTACAAGGAGCGAAACACCGTGAATATGGCAATAAAGGTGAGGGCAAGAGTCCGAACAATGTAAATAATTTTTCTCTTTATTTAGAAGGTTGGTGCAGCACAATCTTCCTATACTATTGCCATTTGACTTTATAACAAATTAAACTAACATCAGCAGACCCCACTGATCCTGTCTCGTGTTTAAAAACATAAATGTCACGTTTTATTCTTTAATTCTAATATCTCTTTTAGCTGATTAACTCATTTCCCCAGGCTAGGGCACAATCCTAGCTCTTGATACAAAGGAATTAAACATGATGTGAATAAAAAAAATGCAACCCCAACTTACAACCCGCCTGTAAGTGGCGACCTATATTTCTATCTGACCCTGAAAATCTAAAGTTGTATTAACTTTATGAAGATTTTGGAAAATCCTTTTATTGTGATTACAATTTTTTAAACATTTAAAAGAATGAACTTGCTTTAAAGTTTTGTGGATTGTCGTGATTGCCAAGTAATAATAACTTCCTTCCAATTCGGATGAACTGAGAAAAAAATGCGAGCCTATGTGAAATTTTCTTTGGATAAATGAAAACCTGACCTTCACAGAAATTGACTGTTGAGCTGAAAAAAAGGAAATAAATTCGCGAACCGTCGTAAAATTGTTTTTTGAATCAATGAAAACCTTGTCTTCACAGAAATAAGCCGCTGAGAAAAGAAGAAGAAAGAAAAGAAAATATCAAACCTATGTGAAATTCTTTTTGATATTAAATGAGAAGATCAAATTAAAGAGGGAAAAGCGTCAGAACTCATGGGAAAGGCTTCGTTTCATTTTCAGAGTGGAGCCTGGTACTCTAATTACTACTAGGATGACTTTAGCATTTTTCTCCAGCATTTTCCACAATGTGGCAGTCTCAACCCTCAACCTTCAGGTCAGAATAGTTGATGATCTTTTCTATATTCTGTTGTATTGAGGACCGACTATATTTAGTTTTCTATTATTATTATTAGTAGTAGTAGTAGTAGTAATAATAATATTTTTTCTGCTTTCGACAACAACTTTTTTTGGTAATGTCTATGCCAAAAAACATTATACAGTGTGACCCGGATGTAAGAGAGTTGTCGGGACCGGAGAAGAAGTCTCTTATATCCGGGTTTCTCTTATATCCGGGTTTGGTCTATTTTTTAAAGGTAAGTATGGCTCTAATTTGGGACCAGAGAAGATCTCTCTTATATCCAGGTTTCTCTTATATCCGGGTTTCTCTTATATCCAGGTTTGGTCTATTTTTTAAGGTAAGTATGGCTCTAATTTGAGACCAGAGAAAATCTCTCTTATATCCGGGTTTCTCTTATATCCGGGTTTGGTCTATTTTGTTTAGGTAAGTATGGCTCTAATTTGGGACCAGAGAAAATCTCTCTTATAGCCAGGTTTCTCTTATATCCGGGTTTCTCTTATATCCGGGTTTCTTTTATATCCGAGTTTGGTCTATTTTTTAAGGTAAGTATGGCTCTAATTTGAGACCAGAGAAAATCTCTCTTATATCCGGGTTTCTTTTATATCAGGGTTTGGTCTATTTTGTTTAGGTAAGTATGGCTCTAATTTGGGACCAGAGAAAATCTCTCTTATATCCAGGTTTCTCTTATATCCAGGTTTCTCTTATATCCGGGTTTCTCTTATATCCGGGTTGTTTAGGTAAGTATGGCTCTAATTTGGGACCAGAGAAAATCTCTCTCTTATATCCGGGTTTCTCTTATATCCGGGTCTCTTATATCCGGGTTACACTGTATAAAACTCAAAAAGACGTTAAAAACCGTGAAGATGTTTCATCTTGTAATAGTCGGATGTATATAGATCTATATAGTTTAATTTGTAACGTAGGTTGATGAGATATAGCGAGAGTCAAAGCCTTACTAGGGGTCTCCAGTCATACCTCTCCCATGACACGGGGGGGGGTCGGGTGTAGTACCTGCAGGCCCTGAATAATAAGTAAATAAATTAATTTAATTTCCTTAATTAGTTTTGATAGAATTTCTTTTCAATTGTTTTAAAACGCAAGAAAATTGCGGATACTTGTTGTCACTTAACATCCATCGAATCGAAAGTTACTTCCTCTGATTGGTGTCCAAATTCCAATCGCCAAGATATGTATTGTATATGTATATACTCAGTGTACTTGCTGGCATTTGATTTATCATGAAAGAAACCAAACATTTCGAACTTAAAAAAAAAAAAAAAAAAAAGACCCCACCCAGTCAAGCGAAAGAAATTGTTTGAGAGATTTTCCGTTAGTCTGCGAGATGATAAGGAGAATTTGAAAAAGGTCTGAACGTTTTTCCCTCTTTGATAAGAGCGGACCAACTGGAAATGGTTTGAAAATTTAAAATCTCCACTGTAAGAAGAAAGACCAATAAAGGCAACATCCTAACGGTAAAAATAATTTATCCGCTTAGAGGATTTATTGACCCGAATTTTAATTGTAATCCACGGTTTACAAATTGAAACTGCCGGCTGCCAAGTCTGTGGTATATGAACTTAGTAGACACTAGACTAGTACATTACAACGTGTGTAGGGGGGAAGGAATGACATTCATTATTTACATTAAACTGTTTTTTTTGGGGGGGGGGTCTTGCATGCTTGTACGGAAATAATGCCCGACTTGTAAATAACCACAAATGAAAGCATTCACAAAAGAGAATAGATAAAAAGTGACCCATAGATAGATAGATAGATAGATAGATAGATAGATAGATAGATAGATAGATAGATAGAAAACGGGACAGATCGTAAGGAATAGATCGTAAGGAATAGATAGATAGATAGATAGATAGATAGATAGATAGATAGATAGATAGATAGATAGATAGATAGATAGATAGAAAACGGGACAGACCGTAAGGATAGATAGATAGATAGATAGATAGATAGATAGATAGATAATGAACAGACTTGGATAGCTAGCTAGCTAGCTAGATTATCTATCTATCTATCTGAACAGGACTTAGATAGATAGATAGATAGATAGAGAGATAGAGAGATAGATAGATATGAATAGAGACTGTTAGAAAGAGAAAGAGCGATATTTTGTTCATTTTCTTTTTCTGTCTCTCTGTGTTTTTACCCCCCCCCCGTATGGTTTGTATGAAACAGGTTTTATTAAATTCCACCCACTTATATTTTTTTTATTATATTTTTTTCCAATTTCCGAATTCAAAGTAGAAACTTGTTTTTAAATCCATCACTGCCATTATTTTTTTTATTTATTCAAGTAAAATCAAAATGAATTAAAAAAGTGTCTGTCTATCTATCTATCTATCTATCTATCTATCTCAGTCCTTTTCATATCTATCTATCTCAGTCTGTTCATGTGCCTGTCTGTCTGTCTGTCTGTCTATCTATCTATCTATCTATCTATCTATCTATCTATCTATCTATCTATCTATCTCAGTCCTTTTCATATCTATCTATCTATCTATCTATCTCAGTCCTTTTCATATCTATCTATCTATCTATCTATCTATCTATCTCAGTCCTTTTCATATCTATCTCAGTTTGTTCATGTGCCTGTCTGTCTGTCTATCTATCTATCTATCTATCTATCTATCTATCTATCTATCTCAGTCCTTTTCATTATCTATCTATCTATCTATCTATCTATCTATCTATCTATCTATCTCAGTCTGTTAATTTATCTATCTATCTATCTATCAGTCGGATCATTCTCCCCCCCTCTCTCTCTAAGGAAGCTGTCTGGCATTATTTGTATTTTGACAAAACCTCATTCTTCGAGAATGTATGCCATTTTTGAAAGTAAGAAGCCCCCACTTGTGTGACTGGCGCAGTATAATCCTTTTATTTTATAAGAAGAATTTTCATATTTTCTATAACGTTTTTTCCCCTCTCTCTCTCTTCTAAATTCGGACTCGCTATCATAAATTCGTTGATTTCGAAAAGGTTAGATTTTTTAACAGAATGTCGTATGAACATCCGTTACTACTTTTGCTAAAAAAAAAATGATAGCATGAGGGGTGGGGACGAGCTGTTTTACATTTCCTAGGGGTAAAGATAATATTTGAATTATATAACCAAGTCGCTTTGAATTTAACTCTTTCTTTATGAATTCTGTTACACGAAGGGAAGAATAGGTACGTAAATTTAGGGATTATTACATAAAGTAAGTTAAGTAAGTATTGCAGTGTATTGCCAAAAGTTTTCGGCTCCATCCACCTTCCAAAATCATGTTTCTTAAGTTGGGTCATTGAAATACTGATTTGGTGAAAAAAAAAAGGGTCGTTTTGTTTGCGCCATTATTCTTTGTAAATTAAAAAAACAGTTGCTTGTGCTCTCATTAATTTTGGGAAGTTTTTCTACGCACCCTGGAGTAATAATATGACCCCCTCCCTAGGCCTATTAATTTTTGACGAATTTTATTTTATTTTATTTTTTTATTAGACATTTATTTAACGTTGGCAACTTAGAAAAATATTTTCGATTTTTTTTTTTTTAACTAAAAAAACCGTTGTTGGCATTTGATTTCTCAGTACGTCGAGGTTTTGTTATATAGTTTGGAATTTTTATATATTTTTTTCAACCATCCCATTTATTTATTGAAATGCTTTCTCATTAAATTTTCTTATCCCCCTCCTTTTGTTCTCCTTTTCATTCGGTTTTCAAATGTCCTGTTGATCGGGATGGAGCCACAAAAGAAACCTCAGCTAAACAACGGTAATCACAGTGTAACCCGGATATAAGAGAGTTGTCGGGACCGGAGAAGAAGTCTCTTATATACGGGTTTCTCTTTTATCCGGGTTTGGTCTATTTTGTTTACATTAACACAGGCCCTAATTTGGGACCAGAGACAATCTCTCTTATATCCTGGTTTCTCTTATATCCGGGTCTCTTATATCCGGGTTACACTGTACTAAAAAAACCCTCTTGAAAAGCTGGAACAGCAAAAGTCAAAGAACCATTGCACTACGGCAGGTGCTCTCCGTTGAATTCTTATAAAAAAAACTTTTTTAAACTAAGTAAAAAATTCAATTTCTAACAAAAAATAAGTGCATAAATAAAAATAATCTAAATAAAAATAAAATAGAAAATAATATAAATAATAACCTAATGAAGAAAAATATATGGAAAAACAAAAATCCGAATATGCAAATGTGCTGTTTTAATGTCGACGTCAGACGTTTCGGGCTAAATAGACCTTCTTCAGGACATAGTTATTAAAACATAATTAACATTTAGACGATATTCAAGTCAACATGAAAAGACGATAGACATAAGGCTAAACAAAACAACTGAAATTTTTAATAATAACTGAAAATAATAAAATATGTAAATAAAAATAAAATAAAAATAATTTAATTAATAAAATAATGTAAATAAAATTGAAAATAAATAGATAAAATATAATAAATAGAAATGAAATAAAAATAAAATAAAAATAATATAAATAATAAAATAATGTAAATAAAATAGAAAATAAATAAAAATTAAATTCACTAAAATTAATAAATAGAAATAAAATAAATAAATAAACAAAGAAACATAAATCTTCCCGATTTGTTCGGGAGTTCGATTCTAACTAAGGGACCCACACTTGTAACCTTGTGCCACTCTCTGTCAAGTTTTTAACCATTCATACATATGACACATTTTTGAAAGGAAATGGAACCACCAGAAGCCTTTTTCTTACAACATTGGTGAAAAAAACAGTAATAAACGCTTTCTTCTTAATTATTTCTGCTCTTAAATTTTGGCGTTGTGCCATACTATGGAACTATAGTTGGTATCATTTCTGCCAGATGTCAGTGTTTGAATAATAAAAAATAATTAATATTAAATTAAAAATAATAATTAAAATAATTAATAATTAATAAAAAAATTAATAATAAATAATTATTATAAATTATTAAAAAAAAATTAAATAATAATAATAATAATAAAATGATTAAAAAAAAAAAGCTTTCGGACGCTGATTTTCTACGTATTCAGGCAGGTCCCTTCTCAACTTGGAAGTTTGGCGCGTCACAATCTTCCTACTCACTGTTTAGTTAGTACCAATTAGACCAAATCTTGCTAAATAAATATTCGCCTCTGGTATCAAGTGGTAATCAAGTTCAGGATTTTAAGGCCCAGGTAGGTATTTGGAATCCTGACGCAACACAATCTTCCTATCCACTCATTTTGGCATTATTCTTGTGTCGTTAATTCCCACTTAGTGCCAAAAAGCTAGAATTTCGAAAGTTAATTTTTAAGGTAGGCTCTCTCGATTAAAAGTTTAAAAAATTAACTGATGGAGGTCCAGGGACCCAATCGAGGGGAGTCGTTTTTTGTTTTTTGTTTTTTTGTGAGGGAGGGCAAAATTCCGACATATTGTTTAACCGTGTTTAGAATTAATTTAATAGGAAAAAAATCTCTCTCCTAGTTAAAAAATGTTTTTTTTTTTTAAAAAAAAACTTTAAAAAGAAATCTTTTTTTTTAAAAGTTGATTATGCAGTTTTTAATCACAAATTATTTTTCTCTAGTTCGCTGGTCGTTTTACTCCTCATTTGAAAGATAGGCGCAACACAATCTTACTTTCTTTGTTTTTGTTTTCTCTCTCTCTTTCTCTCTCTCTCGCTCTCTCTTTTTCTTTCTCTCTTTCTTTTTCTCTCTCTATCTTTCTCTCTCTCTTTCTTTCTCTTTCTCTCGCTCTCTTTCTTTCTCTCTTTCTTTTTCTCTCTCTATCTTTCTCTCTCTCTTTCTCTCGATCTCTTTCTTTCTCTCTTTCTTTTTCTCTCTCTATCTTTCTCTCTCTCTTTCTTTCTCTTTCTCTCGCTCTCTTTCTTTCTTTTTCTCTCTCTATCTTTCTCTCTCTCTTTCTTTCTCTTTCTCTCGCTCTCTTTCTCTCGCTCTCTTTCTCTCTCTCTCTTTCTCTCTCTTTCTCTCTCTTTCTCTCTCTCTTTCTCACTTTATCTCTCTCTCTCTTTCTTTCTCTCGCTCTCTCTCTTTCTCTCGCTCTCTTTTTCTCTCTATCTCTCTCTCACTTTATCTCTCTCTCTCACTTTCTCTCTCTCTCTCTCCTAATTTGAATGAATAATAAAAAGAAAAGCTGCAAAAAATGCAAAAGAAAAAACTTTCACAGACGTGACGTCATCGAGGTCACGTGATGCGATTAAACCACGCCCCTTTTCCTCGTTGGCGGTTATTTCAAAAATACATTTCCCTTTCATTCGTTTGCGGGTTTCTTCTTGTTTCTAGACGTACAACTGCATTCGGGCTGTTTTCAAAGCCAGAAACATTCAATCCTTTGCACTTTAGAAGAGATAATTTAATAGAAAACCTACAACATAAAAAAAAAAAAGTTTTACTTTCTTTTAAAAAGAAATTAATTACAGAGAAATTGATTCTTGTCCCCTTTTTTGGAAGATGAACTCCGTCCGAAAATCTTTCCGTACCCGCAAATATCTTTCACTTCAAGAGAAAGAAAACAAATTACTGTCCACTCCTGAATATGTGAGAAAACGTCCAGACATTGAAAATCTAATGGAAGAGGGCAATTGTAGCCAGTGTGTGAATCGTGAAGGGTTAAAAATCACTGATCAACCCCCCCAGATTCGAAGACAGTCGAACCGGAGGACGTCCATGATTTCAACTCGATATTCAACAAATAATTGTGCCAATTCTTTAAATTCTTCCCTGTCTGTTGGCCAGCCGAAACGACAATTGTCAAAATCAGCTAGTGTCCGGCTAACGGTGATAGATGCCGTCGATACCCTACGAAAAGTAAGTTTCTTTTCAAAATACATTTTCATTTTTACAAAGAAACGAATTACAATTCTTTAATTTATTTTTTACTTTTCGAGTTTTTAGTTTAATTTAAAAAAATATTTTAAAAATCATTTTTTTTTAAATTCTAATTAAACATTAAGAAGAGAAAAAAATCGTTGAAAAATTTAAATTTTATTTTTTTAATTTTATTTTTATTCTTGAAAGTAATTTTAATTCAAATTAAAAAAAAAAACCTGCACTAGGCGAATATGGCACAAGGCCAAGACAAAAAGTGAAGATAATAAAGTCATTTCATTTAAAACATTTTCACCAAGTTTTGTTTAACAACCATGAGAGATATTCCATTTTTAGCTTAGTCTGCCACAAGGCCATATGAATGGAGCACCTAGTAAGGTTCGAAGTAGTAAAGTAGTTTTAGTATGTAAGAATTTCAGACTTAACCGTTGTGATTGTTATTTAAAAAGCGTGGTAATGTCTGGCACAAGGCCATATGAGTCGGTCACATTACTAGCGAATTGTTTTTTTTTTTTTGTTGTTGTTGTAAGAAGCGTTAATCTATACGCAGGTGTTCTTGTAGATTTTTTAAATTCAAGCTGACGAAAAAAATATATAGGTAAATGAATAAAAATAAAATATAAATAAAAAAATTATATATACAAATAAAAATAAAACAAAGAAATAAAAACTAAATAAAAAATAACAAGAAAATTGAAAAATAGACAGAAAAAAGATTCCTGAATTTAAAAACATTTAATAACTAAAATTAATTATTTTTTTTAGGCTAAATTATTTCTTTTTAATTTCAATTTAATAAATATAAAAAATAATTTTTTAACTTTTATTCCGTACAATCAGATATTTGTAAAATATCTCCTTGAAAACCGTTGCTATCTTGTAAAATCCGTGGGAAAGATAAAGTTGATGTTAATTTTTAAAAATGTTTAATAATTTTTAAATTAATATTGTATAAAATAGAATAAAATAAACTAAAATAAAAATTGATGTATTTATTATCAAAATAATTTATTGTGAATTAATTTTATTTAAATTTTATAGATTAGATTTTTTTTAACTTTTATTTTAAATTTTATTTTTTGAATAAAATAAAATAAGTCTTTTGACGTGGATTTTTATTTTTTTTTAGTTTAAAAAATATTTTGAATATGTATTTATTTATCAATTTATTTTTATAATATTTTAAAAAATATTTTCATTATATTTTGACACAAAATACGAAATTTAAATTAAAGTTAATTATAAAAACTTCAGGTAGTTTTAATTTTTAATTTTAAATTTGGAAAATTTAAGCTTCATGATTGAAAATCGTTTAAAAAGGATTCAATTTTTAAATAAATTTAAAAATGGAAAAATCCTTTAAAAAGACAAAAAAAAAAGAAAGAAAAGACAAAATTGTTTTAATTTTATAGACTTTAGAAAAGAATTTCAATTTGTGTACATTTAAATTTTAAAATTTAAAGTTGACAGCTATTTTTCAACTTTCATCATCATCATCAACAACAACAACTAATTTTACTACTACTACTACTAATAGTGATAATAATTAAAAAATAATTAAAAATAATAATAAAATAATACTGCTACTACTAATAATAATTTTTTTAAAAATAATAATTAAAAAAATTAATAAAAATAAAAAAATACGGTTCAGATTGTCAAGGTAATATTCATAAAATACAAATTTTATCGTCATCTAATTTATGTGTACTACAGTTAAGGGATCATATGCAAGATAGGTGTTAACAGTTCAATAAAAAAAATTAAAATAAATACAATGGCACGTGGAACTAGAACAGTCTACCCCAGTGAGCGAAATAAAGGGTTCAGTTCGACATTCCAACCACCTGAAGAAGGCCGGAGCGTACAACGGCCGAAACGTTGTGATAAATATGGCGACAAAGATGAGGACAATAGTCCGAAATATATAAAATACAATGTATTATAAAAATAATTAGTGACCTATTATTATTTCATCACAATGTTTTTACAGTAATTTTTAATATCATCTGGACATTTTTCTCTCTTTAAAAAGTTGAATAATTTTAACACACATTCAACATTATAGATGAAAAAAATAGTGAATTTTATATTGTGTTCTTTTGAGACTCGGTATGCGCAAAACAAATTTGAACAAAAAAAAAAATATGACTCCAGAATGATATCAAAATCTGAAATTTTTTCATTTTTTTTTAATTAGTTTAATTTGTAATGTATATAAATATAGGTAAAAAGAGAAAAGAAAATGTTTATAAAATAGCAAGGGTCACAAAACACTGCCCGGGGACCCAATCAGGCTTGCAAACCTCCCAATTGAGGGTAGGAGCTTCCAGGAATCCCTTCAATTTCAGCCTAAAACTTTTCCAACCAAACACAAGCCCTCTCAAACACAACTGGAATTATTAATCTCCTCAGGTTTTCTTTTTGTATTTTTTTTTTTTTTTTTGTTCAGAGGCCACTCGGGGTAGAATATTACAATATCCGGTAGGAGGGGGAGATAACGGTTGACTTTAGACTTAAACAGGTGAAGATTGTAGCGACTGGGGAAACATCCTCTAGGGAGTTTGTTCCATAGGGCAGTGGTTTGCAGGAAGAATAATTTGGAATGGAACTTCTCGCTGCTGGAATATAGAACGGATAAGTTGTGGTTTGTTACTATGTGAATAGCATGGCATGTCCAAGATCTGACCTGGTGTGACCAGATCGTATTAGCAATAGAGAAGTGAGAGACTTGCCACATCCTACCTGTGAGAGAAAGGTGCCACATGAATTTTTAGTTCCTTGTATTTCAATTGTTCTTTGAAGATCCTCAGATACAATCTACAGAAATTTACCATGTTAGAAAGAAAACACATTCAGTTTTTATGGTCTCTCTATCGTGATATCTAGGCAATAAGCTTTGATTGTTGTGTATTGTAAAATCCTATAACATTGTTCCAGATCCAATGTCTAAACAAGGTCTTCGTAGTGGTGTTCATACCAACTTTTTGCCGTTTCCTTACAATGAAAGTTGCTGATTTTCAATTTTAGATATTAGACCTCCCCTATCATGCTGGGCTTTATTCAGCGGATGCCAATACCATACAGAACTGACACAAGATGGTCATCACATCACTATTCTGCTATCGTATATGTAATAAATGTGAATGTCAGTATGTCATTGTGTTACACTTTTTTAACTTTACTCCTATAGGCTGTAGCTGGGGGGGCCTCAATATGTCGACTGCACCTCTGCAGAGGGGTAAGACACACCAAATGAGGCGTCCTGGGTAAGACGATAAACAACATCCGACAGCAAGGCCTATGATGAAGAGGTTTTGAGGAACATTGCTGGTGTTCCCATGTTTACCCTGATCCAGGTTGGTAGCACCTGTTAGGACCCCAGCTATGGATAAATAGTTAACCCCCAAACTGGGGTCAAAACACTATTAAAGTGTAAAAATAGGTTTTAACACCGGTAATACATTTTTGGGGAAAAAAATACTAAAAAAAAATATTACCCACAATAAAAATCTTGTCGGCATTAAATAACCCATTCAGGCTGATATGGCGTAAAACAAGAACAAACATATTATAAGAGTCTGTCTATATTTCTGAGATGAGGTATTATGTACAGTATATTTCTGAGATGAGGTATTATGTACAGTATTTACATTAGTCGGACTATTGTCCTCATCTTTGTCGCCATATTTGTCACAACGTTTCGGCCGTTGTACGCTTCGGCCTTCTTCAGGTGGTTGGAATTTCGAACTGAACCCTTTATTTCAATCACTGGGGTAGACTGTTCTAGTTCCATGCGCCATGTTTGATGGATGTCAGTTTATCAGTTATCTCCTGCTAATTTTCCCTCTGAAAGTTCTCCACTGCCTTAACCAGGTATTGAACTCACCTTCTTTGGGTCTGTCACTGTATCTAACCAACACCTTTATCCACTGTGCCATGTGTCCTTGAGGATGAACTTCTGAGTATTATAAACCTAATGTTTTCAGCATCATTTTTTACCAGTGCTCATATTGCAATTTTGCTGTTATTATTGCATGTCTTTACCAGAGTTCATATTACAACTTTGTTATCATTGCTTTTCTCTGGCACTCCCATATTGTATTTATTTCTATGCTTGGTCGGCTCAGGAAATTTTTGTGGCCTAGCATATGTGCTGATTCCTTAAGTTTACGAATTTTCCAATGGTGTTCCCTGTCTATGATCTCAACATGGTTCCACAGAGGGTGGTGATCTCCCTTCTCTCTCCATATGTGGTCAGCCACGCCTGATTTTTCTACTTCCCCTAGCGTTACAGCTTTCTGGTGTTCTTGAAGCGAAACGTTGTGACAAATATGGTGACAAAGATGAGGCAATAGTCCGACTAATGTAAATACTATATCGTAACTATTTTGGAATCGGGCCTTTGTGACCAAATTTAAAATATTCTAGGTCAGATCTGGACCGGTTTTCAGTAATTGTTTAAGCCAGTTTGTGTGTTGTTTTTTTTTTTTTTTTTCGACACATCTACTAAAAGTCACCCATGAAATAAAAATTGTTTTTATGGAAAGTAAGGACCTACATGCATCAAATTGTCTTTAAATTAAGTGGTGACATAAGCATTATCGTTGAACCTTTTAAAAGGTAAGCTTAAATATTAATGCAATATTTAAATGCAGTGATCATTGTTGAGTTCTTCTGTAGTTTATTGTTACCTATCACATCTACTGCTCCCTACATATTGTGAGGAAGGCCCAATCAAGAACCCTCCATAGGAGCTTGATAGGGTGGCTCCTAAGCTAGTTAAGTAATAAATTTGTTTCCCTAACAGAATTACTACATAATATGATAATTGAAAAATGTTTAAAAACTCAAATGTGAAAAAACCTAATAATAATAATAATAAGTACTTTTAATCTGTGAAAATGTCTTTTTTGAATTTCCTGATTATTATTTTAATTCTTCAGTTAATGATTGAATAATTGCTTGGGAAGTTCTACAACAATGAAATATCCATAGAAATTCCCCGATCACACCGTTAAAATATTTGAGCTTAGCAATTTTAACAAAATATTGCAATAACAATCATAAATATGAAGGCTGGTCGTTATTTTAAGAAGTAAGGGGGTACAAATAAAAAGATTTGAAATTAACAACTTTTTTTTGATTTCACTGAAACAGACGTTAAACACTTCTTTCTTTCTTCCATTTTTTCTTTCTTTTTCTTTCTTCCCTTCTTTTTCTTTCTTCCCTTCTTTTTCTTTCTTCCTTTCTTTATTTCTTCCTTTCTTTATTTCTTCCCTTCTTTATTTCTTCCTTTCTTTCTTTCTTCCTTTCTTTCTTCCTTTCTTTCTTTCTTCCTTTCTTTCTTTCTTACTTTCTTTCTTCCTTTCTTTCTTTCTTTCTTTCTTACTTTATTTTTTCTTTATTTTTCTTTCTTTCTTTTTTCTTTCTTTCTTCCCATTTTTTTCTCTCTTTCCTTTTTTCTTTCTTTCTTCTCTCACTGAATTTTAGTAATGTCAAAGTGGGGCATAGCCCAAAATCGGTTGTGAACCACAAGTCATTTGCTTTCTTTTAAAACCCATTCCGTTTCTCTCTCTCTCTCTCTCTCTCTCTCTCTCTCTCTCACTCAAACACACACACACACACACACTCACAGAGCAAATAAATAAGAAAGAGGAGGGAGATGAAGAAAAGGCAGAATGATCGCTGCAAAATGGAGGTTATTATTAATAGAAATCTACCCCAATAAAGAAAACTCCATGCATAATTTCTGTTATAATAAAAAGGAAAGGAACATTGGAAAATAAATAAAATAATTTTGACCAATCAGGAAAACAAAGAGACTTTTGATCATAGCCAAAAGTAATCTCCACACTAAGTCATCTGGAATGTTTTAAATTTGTATATAAAGTAACAGCTGACTGATAGCCAAATTAAGCGGTCATCTGCTCAAGACATTTTCCGCCTTTTTAAAGGCCAAGAACACACAGGTGATTGGCATCTGTAACATCTCCAAAATAACCAGACACCCAACCACTACTGACGTCTGACTTATAAACTAACAAACTTACCCAGTTGAACAAACTTTTGCCAACCCAATTTGCAAACGACTCATTTCGGTTGATGTCAAATAAATGAACATATATTATTTGTTTAAACATTTTGATTCTGTTTCTAAATTCTAAAGTTTTCAAGAACCTAAGACACTCTTGTGCTTTTCCACAACCCTCTTTCTTGGAACACTTGCAGTTACATTGTTTAAACTGTTATCCTCATCTTTATAATTAAATTGATGAAGTCTCCAGCGATACATGACACAGTAGATATGTTAGTTTATTGATCCATAAAGTGACTTTACTTAAAGAGTTCTGAGTTCAATTCCTAGCCTCAGCAAAGAGAAGAAAAACTATCAAGATGAATTAACTAAAATTCAGATATCCAAATGCAAGGTACGTGGAATTAGAATCAATCTCCCCCTTCCCCATTTACTAAATAAAATGGTCAGTTTAAAATTTCAACAAAAATCATCCGATGAAGGCCGGAGCGTACAACGGCCGAAATGTTGTGAATGTGACAATAAAGATGAGGCCAACAGTCCGAACAATGTAAACAGTTACAATAACTCATCTCAGAAATAGAGACAGTTCCTGAAGAAGGTCAGAGCATACAACGGCCGAAATGTTGTGAATGTGACAATAAAGATGAGGCCAACAGTCCGAACAATGTAAACAGTTACAATAACTCATCTCAGAAATAGAGAGAGTTCCTGAAGAAGGTCAGAGCGTACAACGGCCGAAATGTTGTGAATGTGACAATAAAGATGAGGCCAACAGTCCGAACAATGTAAACAGTTACAATAACTCATCTCAGAAATAGAGACAGATCCTGAAGAAGGAAGAAGGCCGAAATGTTGTGAATGTGACAATAAAGATGAGGCCAACAGTCCGAACAATGAAAATAGTTACAATAACTCATCTCAGAAATAGAGACAGATGAAGAAGGCCGGGCCAACGAAATGTTGTGAATGTGACAATAAAGATGAGGCCAACAGTCCCAACAATGTAAAAGTTACAATAACTCATCTCAGAAATAGAGAGAGTTCCTGAAGAAGGTCAGAGCATACAACGGCCAAATGTTGTGAATGTGACAATAAAGATGAGGCCAACAGTCCGAACAATGTAAACAGTTACAATAACTCATCTCAGAAATAGAGAGAGTTCCTGAAGAAGGTCAGAGCGCATAAACGGCCGAAATGTTGTGAATGTGACAATAAAGATGAGGCCAACAGTCCCAACAATGTAAATAGTTACAATAACTCATCTCAGAAATAGAGACAGATCCTGAAGAAGGCCGGAGCGCATAACTAATAAATGTTGTGAATGTGACAATAAAGATGAGGCCAACAGTCCGAGCAATGTAAGCAGTTACAATAACTCATCTCAGAAATAGACAGATCCTGAAGAAGGTCAGAGCGCATAACCATTTAAATGTTGTGAATGTGACAATAAAGATGAGGCCAACAGTCCGAACAATGTAAACAGTTACAATAACTCATCTCAGAAATAGAGACAGTTCCTGAAGAAGGTCAGAAGTCATCTCAGAAATAGAGGGAGATGTTATTTATCTTTTTTATTTTTTTCTCCAAGTTTATTTTGATTCCAGCTATGAATAATTAGCCATCAGCTGTCTTCTATAAGTCGACTTGTTTGAGATGTACAGATCAGACTAATATGGAGGATATTAACACACAAGGCCCAACAATCAGACGGATTCTAAAGTTAATCTTTTCCACATCGTATAATATTAGATGCCTTGTATATAGAAGGATGGATTAGGGAGTGTAGAAAATTCTAATTATGGTGACATTTTACTAAATATCACAAATCAATCAATAACCTTAGGCCATTAAGTTTATTTTTTCCATATATGTATATATTTTTAAGTTAATTGTTTAGTAATATAAGCTCTTTCCTTATAAGGAAACATCAGGTATTCATTGACTGTGCAGCAAGTGCTTCTCTCAAGTCATACTTTCCTTCACTCCCTGGCCATTGGACTGGGATCAATGGATTATCTGCCTTCAGGGTGGGCTACATTTTATCTCTTAATCGTATTTCTGTAGTCAGGCAGATAAATAAAAGAGAGATTACTGGTCCTGAGGATTCCAATCCTCTGGCAGCATCTCCTTCTTTTCGTCAAAGTGAGAAGGTCGGTACAATGTCAATGCCAGCATGATATTGGTTTGTGGTGACAGGGCTGTTTTTAGACTTGTCACATGTGCTTGGGCTCTCCACTTAATGGGCCTTGTGCCATATATGAGGAATCTGGAGTAAATATTAAGTGTAGTATCACTTCTCATCTCTAATGGTATTGGCAATGTTGCTTGTTTCCTTATAAGGAAATATATTCAGCATTCATTGATCCAGCAGACATTGCTGCTGTTGGTTGAAACTGAAAAAAATCTTTTTTTTTTTAAAACAATTTTCTTTAATGGATATTTTTTTTTAACCGTGACATTATCCTTGCTAACTATAAATGTTATATTTCGTAGGTAAACGTGTTTGAGTAGACATTAATGTCTACCAGCCTAGAGCTATAAAGTCTTATTAGAGAAACTATGTCTCCTGAGATGAATTGAATCTGTATTCTCATCTTAAAGTGTGAAACCACTTTAAAGCCAATCGTGCTTTACCATAAAGCTATGGGAAGGCATCATGGCAAAGCAAAACTATTTAAGAAATGCATATCTCTTGTTGGGACATTTCCAAGTCTATATCTGCTCTCTTTATTTTCATACCAAAAACATGAACAAAATAATATTAAAACGGAAATACAGTTTCAATTTTAGTTGGTTAGAACATTTTCTTGAATAGAATTTTGATCTCTAGGCTGGTAGACATTAATTTCAGAGTTAAAGCAAAAAAACTGGAATGTCCACTCAAAGTATCTACTAAATATAACGTTTATAGTAATTATATATTTCACTCCAAATGTTCTTTTAGTGGATACCCATGTTTGAGTAGACGCCCCGTTTTTTTTTGGGGGGGGGTGATAGTTAAGGGGAAAATATCTCAATTAACCTGTCAAATTTAAGAGACTGAGTAAAGAAAATGTGCTCTCCAGTGGTGTCTGAATCTGCATACCCCTTTGTAGGAGAAACTATTATCTGATCCGGCATGAACTTAATTTCTTCAAGTGTCATGGATACACAAGCTGATAAATGTAATTCACTGTTTAAAAATAACATGAGTATCCACTAAAATATCATTTTGGGTGATGGTAAATGGTGTTGGATTGAAAATAAAACCCTTAATTAATAATTTAACCATTGTTAAAAAATCACAAAATGTATCTCTTTAAACCATGCCTGTTTGTAAACTTTATGGACAAGCTATGACCAGCACAGACTAGCTTAGACCAGCTGTTTGAGTGGAAATACTTGAGTCCCCACGTTAAAAACCGACTTTGTGTCACAACCTGACTCTCTCTCTCTGTGTGGTGGGGGGAAGTCATGTAAATGTTTATCTTCTTGTTGAACACTGTACCTTCAGACAGAGAGGAACCCAGATGAGGCTATTTCGAGGGGCAAAGTCTCATTTGGGGAGGTAGACAAACCCAGCCCAATCTATACAGGGTCTACGGGCAATGGGCTCAGAATGCCCCACATTAAAAATTGTCCTTGTGCCACGTCTTGCCTTGTGGGGAGCTTAGTTAATAGAAAGGATTTTACACAAGGTCATTTTAACGTGAGAAGCGGCCATATATATATATATATAAAAATATGAGCAAAGAACAAAGCTCCTGAGAGTTATTAGTTAGACTTCTTACCCATACAGCACGGACATTTTTATTTCATTTTGAACAATAGCAGTGGCAATGTCTCCCTGGCATTAGAGGTCGATGGCTGAGATAAAGT